TCTGCCAGCCAGGGCAAAGAGCCTCTCCTCTGGGGTCCCCTGGTAAGAGGAACCTATTGCTCTTAGCTGGAAAAAAGTGAAAATGCCCACCGCCTGTTGTAAGCCTCCTGTCAAAGGAAAGGAAAGTGAGTGCCATTCTTCCCCACAGCTCTGCAGAAAAGCCCTTCAAGCCTCCCCTGGGCAGTGCAATGGGCTCATGCAGCGGCAGCAGAGAGCAGACTGCTGTGGGTTAATGGGCCACACCCAGCACCGAGGAGCTGTGGTGCTGCTCCATGGCAAACCAGCTCCAAATAACATTTGCCAAAGCTTTCCTGACTCCATCCCTAGAGCCTGCCCTGAAGCCTGCCAATCACAATGTCAGGGAATGCTGCTGTCCAGAACATTCCTGCATGCTAATGTACATGAGCTGTTACTTCACACTTGTAGTGCTACACTAACTCTCATTCTTATTAATTCTGACATCTTTCTTGGTCATTTCCCCCTCCCAGTTTGACCATGTTTAATTCTTTTTCATCTTTCTGTGTAGACCAATCCTTCTCAGTGCTATGAATAAATAAAAGCCTTCTGTTCTCATCAACAAAATGGTCTTTTAACAGTTGCAAGAACAACATAGCAATCACTTAGAAAAAAAAGCAAAACAAAAGCAGCTAATATTTGGTGCATTTAAAAATATCTGCTCCAGCTATTTTCTACATTTTAGAAATAAATCCTTCATTAAACAGAGAAAGCAGTGAAAAAAATAATGGAGAGAAGCACCAGTGGGTGTCTGAGAGGTACCTGCTAACCCATCAGAAATGCTCACCACACACAAAGCAGCAGCAGGGCTGCCAAAGCAAGCTGAACTTCAGTTAGAAACATCTAAAGAATGTGAATAAGCTGTTAGAGCTGCAACCTTCCCCTCTGCTTTGATCTGACATTAAACATAACTCAAGAGTGGGAAACTCAACAGCTTCAAAAGGGTGAAAGGGTCAAAGGTCTTCATGTACCAGGACAGGTAGAGGGTTTATTCCTCCTGGAGAAAGTAGGATGAAAATGTATCTGGTGGCTGGGAACTGCCACCAGGTTAGGGCTGAGTATTTCATCCTCCTCATCCTTACATAAAACAGACACAACACCCGTACGTGGCATGAGCAAGTCCAAGAGAAAAAGAGGGCTAATTTCAACTATGATTAAAAAAAAAAAAAACAAAAAAAACACATTTCTGTGGTCCCTGTATCTTGCAAATGTGTTTCTGACTGCTAATAGTTGACATGTACTTTTGAAGGTGAAATTGTGGTTTCTCTGGGCTCTGGCCACGTAATGCAACCGTAGTGCATTAGATCTCAGCAAATCAGATGTTACAGGAAAACAGACGAGGATGGCTGGAACATCATGTGCTTTACCAACTGAAAATGCTTGGTATGAGAAAACAAAGCCACATTCTCTAGCCTTTATTCTTGTTTTCCTTGGCTCTCAGCTTTACAGCTCCCTAAAATTACTGTGCTAAAACTAAAGGAGCTGCAATCTGCAGCTGACTGAAGAACTGCAATACCATTCCACCAATCCCCCAGAGTTATTCTTTCGAAGAGAGCTTTCCTAAATTGATTGCCAATAACCTAATATGCTTGTCTCTTTCTTCCGTCATCAGAATCTTGCCATAATAAAATAACGGTAATTCAGAAATGAAGTTGAAAAGGTGAGGTGTTATTTCAAAATATCTAAACTTGGAGAAATAGTAAGGTCATCCCAGCAGCCTTAGTTCTGCCTTCATGAAGCTGCATGCCAAGCAAACCCAGAAATCATGGGAAACATTTACCTGCCTGTGAAAAACACCTTATAAGAGACCACAGGAAAAAAATTGCTGTATTACACAGAAATTCCATTTTCCTCTTTCACAGGGTTGATACAAACCGAAGACATTTAATAATATTAGATATAAGGTAAGGTTAAAAGGTCTTCTGGAATTCAATTTCCACTCTCACCATGGAAAATTTCTAATACATATCTATGAGTTCCAGCAGTCTTGTGATTACAATGAAATATCCCAAAGAGTAAATGTTCAAATCCTGACATACTGAGAAAGGTGAGCCAGAGGTACCTTACACTAAGGGGCAATACTAAGACACAAATTGGAGTGCACTTTGTTTGTTACTCTGTGAAGCACCTTTTTGGTGAAGCCTTGCATAAGAGGAAACACTGATGCAGAGCAGCCTTTGGCAAGATTTAGAGCCCATGTGTGAGCTCCTACGGAGTCAGCAATAAAAATGGAAATTATTTTTCCTTCTTTTGACTGAGGGATAGACACAACATAAATCAGTCAAGTCACACATACTCCAACCCTGGTAACTTGGGGAAATCTCGCTTGTCACGCTGTGGAACTGCATTAATGATCTCCTGGATATGCACCTGTATTGGGAATTTTATCCATGAGAATACCAGAACCTGAACAAATATCCAGGTCAGGAGGTCTATATTGAGCTCACACGACTAAGAGCCGTGGTACGAGGTAGGGAACAGACAGCTATTATAGTGCTAACACAAGTGAATAATTGATATTACCCAAAGATATCCAAAGGAAAGGACACAAAAGGGAACACACTGCTGAAGTGATTTGGAAGAGATAAAATATTGGAGGAAAACTTTAAACCTCCAAGTCTGACCAGAGCAGTTTTGCAATGGAGGCATTTATGTCCTTCAGCTTTCACTGGCATTTAGCTCAGGCTGTAATTTGTATTTCATAAAAGTTTATCCTTGGTGGTTGCCTCTTTAAGTGCAAGAATTATTATACAGAGCCTAAAAGATGTTAATTGTCTTTCTAACTTACAGTGAATCAAGGCTCAGTTACATCAGCTCTTTGTGTAACACAACTGTGTTTCCATTGTTCTGCTTTCAGGTTCCTTTTCATCCTCTCCTCTTTACTGATCAGGAAAACAGAATTTACAAACAAAACTGTAGGTCTGACAGGGAGAACAAAGTTGTTTACTGACCTGAGAAACCGGATTTGTACGAATTGCACTGTTTAATCCAGCAATACTAGTGTATTCTGAAAAATTGCCCAAAACACCAAGAAATATTTATGTTTCTCTGTGAAAAAGATACTCAAGGAAAAAGAGAGCAAATTGTCACACAGCACAAAACATGCCTGACAGAAACATGCACCTCAAAGTCCCTTCTCCATCAACAGAGGAGGCATTCTCTGTATCAAATCCATGCAGTAAATAAATGTTTTATCATCTCTTCTATATTTGTTAGCTATTTATAACTAATTAATGCTATTTTAACCCAATTTCTTAAAACCTTTATCAAGCTTTATGGGAATGAGGAGCTAAGGCAGGGTGTTAAGCATGCACAGAGAGCAACTGCATTCCCTCACAGGCTCATGGAGACTGAACAAGTTGCTTGTGTGTCCTGGAGTTCGGTCACTTTTTGTGTGGACTGGCTGTGGTCTGCTAACAGCAGCTGCAGGGTGAGCAGCATGTGGCCTGTTCCATCCCCCTTCCCACGGACTTCATGCCACACAGGCAACCAGAGGGGGATGGACACTCTTCCTACTGGGATTACTGCAGACTCCTGCTAGCCTAGCTCCAGCTCAGGAGGAAGTGTCTCAAAATGAATGAATCAACACTTAGAAACACTCTGCCTACACAGGGAGAAAAAGACCTAGGTGCTGAGTTAAGATACTTCTGCACAGGTCAAGTCTTTTTGCAAAGCCAGCCTCAAATATGGCACTGTTCAAAAAAAAAAAAAAAAAAAAAAAAAAAAAAGTCACATGGGGTTTATTTATTTTCCTTGCAAACCATCTTGTGAACTAGATAGTCTCTTTATCAGAGAAAATATAGGGGTCATTTCTGCGTAATGAGTGCAGTGCTGTGATCAAAAGTGAGTCGCAAGAGCAAGGGAAAGCCTTGGTACTCAGATTAAGTAAGGTTTTGCCTTTCCCCTCACAGATAAATGGTGCAATGACTCATGTACATTCAGGATCTTCAAACTCAAATTAAACAGTCCTGTCTTTGAGGAGACCTAGGGGCAGGTTTGAGTCTTGGCTTCAGCCAAGTAAATTGCAGTTTACTTCCCAATATCAGTGGATAATCTGCCCAAAGGACATCAGATTCACACTAAGATTCATCCCATTTCAATCTGTCAGCTCAGTATCTGGCCTTGCATTTTGTCTGCTGCCATCATCAATCCCATTTATTAATTTGGCTGTCACGGGAAGCAGTAGTCTGGGATGATAAAATCAAAGCAAAGATCTCCAAGCACAAGGGTCATGTGTGACAGGAGGCTACCAGAGACCCAGGATGGGTGGTTCAAATATGTTGCTGGGATGTCCTGATCCAAGCACTGCAGGGACCTGGTGACACCCAGCACATCTCCATCACAGCGTGGGGCACAGAGCAGAGACCTTCAAGCAAGAAGAGGCAGGGACATTAAGTGTACCTGGCCCAGCACTGCCCCACCCTGCTGCTGAGGGCCAAAGGGGGCTGCTGTGTTGTCACAGCCTTGCACCCTCCTCAAAGGGCTTCTCTCAGAGCTGAGGTGTGCACAGCCAGCTCCAGTCTCTCTGCTGGACTGTGGAGATGTACTCAAAGGTATCTGTGATGTCTTCTTGCCTCGCCATGTCTCAAGGGTGCAGCTGTCTCATTGTATCAGAACATAAAGCCATGCTGACCTTTCAGCCTCCCGTCTGGGATCACTTAGGACATCGACTGTGAATTTAGCAGAAATGGCTCCTAGTCCCACTTCCACAGTGGACAATACCACTTCAGCCCCAAGAGACAGGTGAAGAGGAAATAATCCCTTAAAGTGAGGTCAAAAGGCTAAGGAAAACTCAAAGCAAACAGGGATAGCTTTTACAGAGTCAATATGCAGATCTCGACTAAGCAACAGATAATCCTTTTTTAATTTATGTCTGGCTGTAAATATTTTATTGGCTCTTCTCTCACTGCTGAGTAGCTGTAATGGCATTTACTTCAACAAAGGCCTGAGCTGCTGTAAATCAAGTACAGTTTTAGGCTACTCACCATGGTCATGGGCAAACACAAACAAGTTGAGTCCTGTCAGCTTCTGGGCCAAGTCATCGTAGCGGCCGCAGTGCTCCCCAGCGCCATGGGCAATAAACACAAGGGCCCTAAATGGAGCATCAACATACAAATCATTAACGTGGCAATCACCCTGCAAAGGCTGCAGAGCTGCAAGGGAAACCATTCCATTCAGCAACAGCATTTCAGACATCAGCAGACAGCAGGCAGGTATAGAATTTGCAGAGCTTGAATACAGGGCATTGTCAGCCTGGCCTGCCATCGACCTGGCCTTCAACTGGTTGTTGTAGGATGGGTTCCAGGGAAGGCATCTGCTCATGGGACAGTCACCATGGTCTGCTGTAAGTTCAAGATGCAGATGGGCATCAGCATCAGTCCCTGAGCTGGGTATCTCCATGGGGGCTTGAGGTTCTACATGGCTCCTCCAGTGTAAGTGATGCCATCTGTTTCTTTTGGGACTGGTATCACTCTGTGATTCAAATACCAACACTTTATAACTTCAAACATTGTCTGATGCTCCAGAACACTCAAAGGTGGAATTTCAGCCAAAGAATAGGTCTCCAGCACATTGCTTGGAGTTTGGAATTTTATCTTTTGACCCAGTTATGGTAATTTAACCATTCCAGTCTCTGCCCCAAAACAGCTCCTTCACTTCTATGATTAAAGTGACTCTTACATAGCCACTGAGCAGACAGAGATAATAAAAAAGTAGTCTAATAGACACTTATTTTTGCAAATAGTTATCTTTAAATATTCCAGTTTTTTGAGTAATACCTTACTTTTACTGGAATGCCATCAAATGAAAGTGACTGAACTTGACTCTCCCCAGTGTTTCTGTCAGATAAAATTAGTATAGACTTGGGCTAGAACTATAGCAGAAGTAGCAATGATATTACAGACCTTCTGCTGGATTTGACAGGTGACTATTTAAAATCCAGTTTTAGCAACATAAACATAACTTGTTTGTTTAAAAGGACCATTTGTCATTGCAACCTCAGCAACCACAAAACCATTTGAAGGCTACAAGTTTGACATTTTCAGTACATGAACAGTGAAATATTACAAGAACTGACAACATAAAACAATGAAAGCAGTTAACAGCTAGGGAATTCCTCAACTTTATCTTAATTGAGGTTTTGAATACCTTTTTAGACAGTGTATTGACAACAATGAACTGCTTAGGTCGTAATATATTTAAACTTAAAAAGCATGGTGGATGATGTAGAAACTCCTGTCCTAGCTCTTTAATTAGCAGCTGCTTTAAAGCATTTGCCTAGCTGGACAATTTAAAAGAGCATCCATCCAGACCAGAAGGACTGTACAGAGTCCACTGCAAAAACAAAGGCAACAAGGCAAAGACGCTCTGGTCTGTCTAACATCAATTAGCAAGGGTGACGTTAGGTCATGTACCATATTTAACTTACCGTGCCTTACAAATCCTCTTTAGTGCCACTGAAGGTTGCAAAACAATATGTGTGGAGCAGTCATTCCTTCCTTTGTCATTGTCCCTGATCAATTGATTTATCAAGTTATCAATGCACCTGGCAGACAGACTGGTTTTTGGAGTGCAGGATCTATTATTATACATCCAAATACTGAGGGAAGCGAGACATTGCTCGTTCAGTGGAGAATATTTACTTTCTTCCTGTGGGCCCATTGCCCTGATAAGCAACAGACTCAGCCAGGCTAAGTCTCTCTGCCATACCTCCTACTCCCATACCTTCAAGCTTGACAGCTTCCTTGCTCAATGTCTTACTTAAGCTCTTTAGGGGACCTATATTTGTTTCTGCTGACTAGGCACAGAGATAAAGGTGCAAGTTGGCTGACTGAATATAGCCCTTCATTTCGCAGAGAAATATTATTTGAATTTATGCACTAAATGGCACTAAGTGAATGAAACCTAATGGGAAGCTGGCAAAGAGATCTCTTCCAGGAAAATCTTAATTCTTCATCCCTGAGACAGCAAAGCTCTTGTTTTGCTTTTATTCATACTGATGCAGCACCATGAGTTTGCCTGTCAGCATCCTTCTAGATGCCAAAAGCCCTCACTTTATGTGAAACCAAGTGAGAAAAGACAAAAACCCAAAGCTTCAGAGAGGCAAGCTGTTGCTGTGACCTTTCCTTCCACCTGGAACACAATTTCCAGGTGTCACAGAACTGAGCCTTTGCACACCACAGGGAACAGACCTGGGTTATTATTTGTCTGCAAAATGCTGAATAAAACCCCTGAGCCTGTTGGTGCCTTAACAGCTCTAATGACAGTAGCTGTTGAAACAACTTAGATACTTTTGAAAGTTTTGTCCTATCAATAATCATAAACAAAGCATAACATTTCCAGTTTGTTACACTGAAACAAAATCAGCTTGGCCTGTTGTTCAATAAAAAGTGAGAGTGGCTTTACTGACTAAAAACTAGGTCACATCTACACAGCTCCTTAGCTCCAGCTTTCAGGCCTAAGCACAAGGGTCACATATTGAACAGAACCTTCAAATATTGAAATTAGTATAAGTATCATCTGAACAAGGATTGAAGGATTTGGCAGTTTCATTTAATCTCCAATTTTCCATTACGAAGTAAGTTTAGATTTGGCAAATAATACCTGAAGGGAGTAACAAATTGTAACAAATACAATTTAACATATTTTCACTAGCAAGCTGCCAGAAAAATACAACAAACTATTAGATTGACTGACAGCAATTTGTTCCTGTATGTAAACATTTGTGCAGATATCCCTGATTTTAAATCACAGTCTTCTCCTTCCTTACCACAATGGCTGGAATAACAGAATATCAGAGATTGCTTTCAACAGAGTAAATTAAAATTAGTATGGATCATTCAATGTTTGAGGTTTTGCAGCACTGCAGTGCTTTTCTGTGCAGTCTCAATGAGAATTTTTTTCAAAAAGGGTTTGTGTCTTGGCCATGTATCAAACTGGTAATGCTGAGAAATTTCTTCACCTCCAGCTTTTGCAATTGTGCTGCTGAATTCCTCGGAAGTTTGCAGGTATCAGGTAGAAAACATTGTGCACAGCCTGAAAGCTCTCTGCAAAGTGACCTGTGCCTGAATCCCTGCTAGCTCTGATGTCTCTGACCACAGGCAGGGAAAGCTCACGTATCTTTGGATGCTCCAGCGGGTTTTGGCTGGTGGAACTGTGCTTGCTGAACATCTCAAAATAGCAGGGCTTTGGCACCTGCTCAGGGAAGCAGCTCCTCGCCCAGCAGCAGGACTCCCCCACACTCCTGGCTGTGTCTGAGCACAAAGCCAAGGTGTGAGCAGGCGTGACTCAGTCCCACGCTCCTGCTCGCACCCAGCTCTGGGGCAATGGGCTGGTAGAGGAAACCGCTTTATTGACTGCTGTTTGCAAAAGCAACAGATGGCTTTTGCAGATTCCTGCCCTTCCCATAGCCTTTATCACCTCCTCCTCCTGCCCCCTCCCCACTGCAGGTTTCTGCCCCCTGGTACTGCACAGCTTGGCAAACAGATGCAGTGACTTATTACACACAACAAGAAGGCAGAATAATATTTATCTTTACTGTTCAAATCAGCTACTGGTTGGGCTGTGTTTAGTCCTCTTCCACGAGAAGGTGATACACACCTATGACCTGTCCCTGCTCCCGCATCTCCCCTGCCTGGCATCAGTCCCTCTATTGCAGCTGCAGCCTGTTAAGCTTTGTAAATCACAGCAGTGCCACACCTGCAGTTAATACAAAGCACCTGCAAACACCCTGTTCTTTATTAGGGAGGGTGGAAATTATGGAGGCCAGGCTGCAACACGGCCAGTGTGCACAAGTCCATGTGAACATGTTCTTCTGTCCTGCCTCTTGGAGAGTTCACCAACTGATCCCAGCTTTAGCTGTGTCCAAGCCTTCCCTATTTCTCACTGTGCTTCACATCCACTAATATTTCCTTGTGTGAGCAGCAGCTTTACAGGGCAGGGTCATGCTTTAGGCTGCAGTTCTAGGTAGAAAGGCAGTACCAGGTTTAAAGGTTCTCGCTGTCTTTTCTGATTTTGCTTTGTCAAGGGCCAAGACAATTCTTTAGAGATGCAATTCCACAGTCAACTGGAGGAGAACAACTGTATGAAAAATAAATTGCAGCACTGGACTTCTGGACTCACACACACAAGCAAGAGCCCTCTTAAAGCAAGGCTGTTAGAAGAAAAATTCACTGAAAGCACACCCAGAAAGCTGCTGTGCTGTGACACTTTGCAGGCCTGAAACACCACTCGGGGCTTGGGTCCTGCTGGGCATAAGACCCACGTTCCTGCTTTGCTTTCATGTTGATACTGAACTAGACAAAAGGAAGTTGCAAGCAGGACAATATGACTTTAACATCTTGGGTTCTCTGGGGACAGAGCCACTTCTCTGGGACCCTATGCATTCTCTTTCATTGCCAGAAAATAACCCAAAACATTAGGGCTGAACCAAAGAACGGAAGACAAGCTTCCTATGACTGCATATATGAAAAATGCAATCTTTTCCACCCTATTCAAAAGCATCCCTCTTCAGAATAGTATTTAAGTACTTGCCTTAACCTCAGGAAACTTTCTTCAACACACGAAAGTCAACAGGACTCTCCAAATACAGGATGAAACTTAAAAAAGGATTTATAAATGGTGTCCAGAATAAGGACTGAATCACAGGCAGAAGTGATTTCCTGAATCAAGCCCTCCCAACTTAAGCTACTACCATGTTATTCTATGCTAGGCAACTGTGCTTTTCATTTGGTCTTATGGATGTTGTTACCAGAACCAGATCAGCTTTAACAAAGAACATCTGACTTGCACAGTTTTGAATTCCAGACACTAAATTCCTACAGTAATTTTTAAAAACAAACTGACAGGAAAGCTCTGAGCCAGCTAAGCTGCCAGAAAAATGACTGGCTTAAGTGCTACATTTTGTTGTGTTGTTTGAGCTGATTTATCATTTCCCTTGTAGCTAAACAATTAACTTTTATTTACCAAAAACTGGTGATGTTTTTGGACAAGCAAGTGGATAGTCACTCACAGATCTTCTAGTGGATTAAAAATGTTATGTGTGTATTTTTCTTCCAAAGTATATTATAATGGAAAGTCACTGGAAGGTGTTCA